TATGTATGTATGTATGTATGTATGTATGTGTGTGGCCAGCTCAGCCCACCAGGGGGCGGGGCTGGCTGGCATGTGGTGCTGGGGGATTGAACCGCGGTGCCTGTGCTTTGCCAAGCTTGTTCTAAGTAGGTGCTTCAGACCACTGAGCCATCTCACCAGCGCCCTTTTTTAAAAAAAAAATTATTTATTTATGGCAGGGGCTTTAATCCACTGAGCTATTTGGCTGGCCTCAGCTGATTCTGATGGGCTTTCCTTTATAGGTGATTTATTTCTTTCCTCTAACATCTTCTTATATTCTGCTCTTGTGTTCAATTTCTGAAATCTTGACTATTATATGCCTTGCTGTAGATTCTATGGTTGTTGAAAAATATATGAAATATATATTTTAATGTCCATAAGCAAAATTTACCAGAACACAGCCATAACCATTTGTTCGCATAATTACATTTGAACTACAAAGCAAACTCAAGTATAATAGTTGCCATGGAGATGTCATGGCCCACAAAAACCTAAATCTCTCTAACTGACCTTTGACAGCAACAGTTTGCTGGCCTCTGACTCAACAGGATGTTCAGAGACTTTCTTTCTTTCTTTCTTTCTTTCTTTCTTTCTTTCTTTCTTTCTTTCAATGGGTCTCACTATGTAGTTCTGGCCTCAAACGTGCAGTGATCCTCCTGCCTTAGCCTCCTGAGTGCTGGGATTCAGGCATGTGGCCTCATATGTGGCCAGCGACTCTTTTTAAAAAGTACAATCCCTGGTACTGCAAAAAAAAAAAAAAAAAAAAAAAGTACACATGGTCTGTAATCTTGGTACTTGTGAGCTGAGCAGAGAGGATGAAAGTTCTAGAGGTGTATCTCAGTGGTAGAGTGTTTGCCTAGCATGCACAAGGCCCTGAATTCAATCCCCAGTACAACAATAAATAAATAAATAAATAAATAAATAAATAAATAAATAAGAAAAAGATGATGAAAAGTTCAAAGTCAGCCTGGGCAATACAGCAAGATCCTGGCTCAGTAAGGGGGAAAAAAAGCCTAAGAATATAGTTCAATATGAAGCCCTGTGTTCAAGGCCCATTACCACACACGCAGTTGTAGCTCAGTATCATTACAAAAATAATCTGCTGGGCATGGTAGCACACACCTATAGTGCTAGCACTTGGGAGGCTGAGGCAGGAGGCTTTCTACAAGTTTGTCAGCCTGGGCTAACAAGAATTTCTAGGTCACCGAACAGTGAGCCCCTGTCTAATAGTAAGCCCTTGTCTAAAAAATAAACCAAAAAAAACCTAGCTGGACATTTTGACGCAATGTTTCCTGTAACCCCAGAAACTGAGAGACTGAAGCAGGAGGCTTGCCGTGAGTTTGAGGCCATTCTGGATGACATAGTGAGTCCAAGGCCAGGCTGGATTGTATAGCAAGACTTTGTCTCAGAAAACCAAAAAAAAAGAAAGCAAATGCCTAAGGAAGATAACCCAGCAATGCAAGAATAAGTTCTTGTAAGTAACAGATTTATAGCCAGCCGTGGGAGCACACACTTATAACCCCAGCATTTAGGAGGCTGAGGTAAGGGAGTACAACTTCAAGCCCAGCTTGGGCAACTAAGCAAGACCTTGTTTCAAAATAAAAAATGTTGAAGGGCTGGAGATGTTTGATTCCTAGAGCTACAAAAAGAAAAGAAATGTCTAAACATAGGATGACTATTAGGGCCAGGGAGATAGCTCAGCGGACTAAGCGCCTGCCCAGGCAAGTGCAGAGACCCTGGCTTGATGGCCCGGAACACATGCCTCGCTGACTCCGCCCCAGGGCACGCTGAGCCAGTGACTGAGTCCTGGTGTGGAATCCCAGAGCTGGGGAGGCTGAAAAACAGGACTGCTATGAGGCCAAGCTGTGTAGTGAGATCCTGTACCTAATACATTAAAAAAGAAATAAACAAAAAGAATGATGCCTCACCGGCCCCACCCCCGGGGGCACTGAGCCAGTGACAGAGTCCAGATGTGGCGTAGTGAGACCCTGTGAAGAAGAGGAGGGTGGGGGGAGAGGGGAGGAGGGAAGGAGGAGGAGGGGGAGGCACTTGCTTGTAATCCCAGCACTTGGGAGGCTGAGGCAGGATTGTTGTAAGTTGGAGGCCAGCCTGGGCTACATAGTGTGGGAAACTGGGGTCCTATCTTTTCTATCGATATAAGCAGTGGGGCTGGTGAGATGGCTCAGTGGTCTAAAGCACCTACTTAGAACAAACTTAGCAAAGCACAGGGACTGCGGTTCAATCCCCCAGCACCACATGCCAGCCAGCCCCGCCCCCTAGTGGGCTGAGCTGGCCATACACACACACACACACACACACACACACACACACACACACACACAAATAAAATTTAAAAAAAAAAAAGGATATAAGCAGTAGGACCTCCACCTTAAAACTTTATTTCACTGTGGGCTGTTCACCTTCCCCCCTTGCACCAGGATTGCAGTTGTTACAACATCTGAGGCAAGGACTCTGGGAACAACATATGGAAATGACTTCCAGTCCTGGTACCCCCACACCCCCTTAGCCATCCTGCCTAGCAACCTCCCAGCCTCACCCCTCACACACCTAAACCAGACAATCAGGATGAGTGAACTTTTAAGGTGCCAATAGGGAGAAGGCAGCTACCTGCCCAAAAGGTAGGATATATAAGGAGCTTGCTGCTGCCGCTCAGTGTACCCTCCTCATTGTTGGGGTGTGCTCTTCTGCAGAAGCAAACTTGCCTTGCCAAGATTTTTTGGTGTCTGAGTGCTTTATTTCTGCATGGACACATTGACTCTAGGGCTTATTGCTAACGACAGTGAGTTTAAGGCCAGCCTAAAAGGGAACTTCAATATATAAAAGCTGCTGGGAGTAATGGCACATGCCTGTGATCCCAGCACTAAAGGCTGACACAGGAGGATCAGAAGTTGAAGGCCAGCCTGAACAAGAGTGAGACCCAGTAAGAAAGAGAAGCCCATTTACAAGGGGGGGGGGAGAGGGGAGAGAGAGAGAGAGAGAGAGAGAGAGAGAGAGAGAGAGAGAGAGAGAGAGAGAGAGAGAGAGATTGGTTACTTGAATTTAAAAAAAAATCACATACAGGGCCAGGGAGATAGCTCAGTAGGACAAGCAGTCCCTCTAATTTCTACGGTCAGTTTAAGTTGCACTCTTACCATCATTAACAGGTTTTGGGGATTCAGCTACCACCTGAGTTCAGGGCAACAAGCCATGTATTTAAACCACAGAGGGCTGGGATGTTACTCAGCAGTAGAGGACTCTGCACTGAGGACTGGGATATTAACCCTAGCACCACAAAAAACGCAACACAGCAAGGTCAGAACAGCAAGCAAACTTGGAGGGTGCAGGATCTAATCCACAGCTCAGAGGACCGAGACAAGAACCTAACTCCAGGGCCAGGCAGCATTGGGGGCAGGGCTGAGCATCAAGTCCTTCCCTCCTCCTACTTCAATCCTTGGGAGCCTGCCTGTCCCTCCACACCATTATGGGCTCTTTTTCTGGATAATTTCATTGACAGCATTTGTGATTTCACTTCTGACGGAATATGATGGGTATGACAGTTTCATTTCAGAACAAACTTGGTATGGCTCACAGACCATGAAAGCTTGAGTAAAACAATCGCTTTCAGCCTGACTCAAAACAGGACTGATGTGGCCAGCCCCAGCCTTCTCAAAGGCCTCAGAATGAGGGAGGTGATGGGTGTGAAGCGTCTGCACACCTGAGGTGGACAGGAGAAAGCTGGTGAGCACTGGCCTTGGAAAAGCCAGCTGCTCTCTGGACCACACATGAAGCACAGGGACACTCCCAGGATGGCTGCAGAAAATGTACTAAACTCTACCTTAGTTCTTCCCTAGCTGTGGTAGAGCCAACTTGGAATCTGGGGTCCAGGTTCCTCAGCAAGGAAGTCTCCCAACTGCACATCTGAGTCCTCATCTCCCGTCATCCCAAGACTTACTGCAGGCTTAGGTCTTACCCGAGCCCCAGATCTCCATCAGTGAATGTGCCCACACTATGTCTGTCGGACTGAGGGATGCAGATTGACACTGTTCCTTCCCTTCCTCCCCCAATACACCTTTTGCCTAGCTTCCCTCAATTTCAAGCACACCCAGCTACCCATTGAACACTCTTGTCTTTGCTGAGAGTGGTTTGGGTTCTACAGCCTCACCCCTCCAGTGTTCTCTTGGTTCTGGAATACCGCTGTTGTTCCAGATGGGGTGAAGTAGAACCAGGGGGTTTGGCTATCTTGGCCAGTCTCCCCCTTGCTCCAGTGATTGGGTCTGACCAGAGGCCTCTGCTGTGCTCAGGATGCGGTGGCGGGACCGAGTGGCTGTGCTCTTCTTCCCCCAAGGCATGATGCTCACCATGGCCGCACTCCTGCTTTTCTTCATACACCTGGGCATCTTTGCCAGCGACCTGTACAACTTCTACATCACCCACCACTATGACCGCATGAGCTTCGACTACACGCCTATCCTGATGGTGGGGGCTCAGAGCTGGCTGGGGGGGCGGGGCTGGGGCACCCTACTGGGTCAGGGTGGGGGGCTGCTCCCCACTGGATGGGCCTACAGTTCTCCCAGGTAATGAGTGTCTGCTGGGCTGCCATGGGGTCAGTCTACGCTGAGATGACAGAGGACAAATATTTCCAGTGCTCTGCTCTAACCATCTTGAGTGAGTAATGCTCAGAGGGTGGGGAGGGGAGCTTGGGACTGGGATGGATAAGGGGCAGGGTGGGGGGCTGATGGCTCTCTACTCTGCCCAGTACTCAATGCGGTCATGTTCTTCAACCGCTTGTCTCTGGAGTTTCTAACTATTCAGCACCGAGAGGAAAGCCACTGAGGCCTGGGGACGGGCCAAGGCTGAAAGGGGTAAGGAAAAGCCAGCTTTGGGTGTTTTAATAAAGTCTGTTGTTTATTTGCCCCTGTCAACTCCTTCGAGGGGTTGGGGTAGGGGGCAGGAGATCCAAGGAGAAGCAAATTAAGACAAATGCTTGACCTATAGGACTCCAGACCCAGCCTGCAGCTGCCCTGGTGGCCTTGGCTTTGGGCCTGGGATCTTAGTGTCTTGGACTTGAGGGTGAGGAATGTCTCCCTCCTTGGGGCCTTGAGCTGGCCCAGTCACAAGCCAGGGCTCATGAGGGGCCCACACGGATGTGTGGGTTCATGAGTGGGTCCAGATTGGGATCACTGTCAGCTGCAGCCCGGCCCAGACGAGACATGAGGGCAAGGAGGGCCAGGAAACCTAGCAGCCCCAAGAGCAGCAGCAACCCTGCTCGCTGCAGTAGGGTCAGAGGCCGCTTCCGAGACCCAGCCCGGCTCCTGGGGGAACAAAGAGAAAGTTAAAGTTAGTTCAGGCCCTGCGGCCGAGGCATGAAGAGGGGCCCTAGTCAAGGAGGGGGCACATCCTTGACCTTCCGTTTCTTCATCTGTGCCATACAGATGATCACTCTACCACACAGGGTTACTGTGCAGCTCAAAGCAGCTGAGATGTATGATTTTTCTGAAAACTGCAATGTGTCAGGCTTGCAGGATAAAAAGCATGAAGATGCCTCAAAGAGCTTGAGTCCAAAGCTCCAGTGGAATGCAAAGATCCCAGAGGTGGGAGGTAGCAATGCTTCTACTCGCCAGCAGAGGCTGTTCTTCAGAGTCCTTGCATCAGATATGGCTAGGGTCTGGTGTAAGTCCCTTTGTCAAATCATCCTTCCAAGGGTCCGGCCTCCCACCTGACCCCATATACCTGAGCAGCTGGGCCAGCCAGCCCAGGGCAGGCCGCCGGCGGTACTTGTCATCATCGTAATCCCCATGGAGGGCTGGTGCCCGGTCATCGTCCCTTGTGTCATACACTTTCCTTGGGGCTGCAGGGGTAGAGCCAAGAACATCAATAGGCTCAGGGAACCTGCTGTGTATGTGTGTATATGTTTCTGTGTGTGCACGTGCGTGCGCGTCAGTGGTAACGGTCTTCTGTCTTTCCCCAGCTGGCAAAACATTTTGGAATTGTGGGGTGGTTATGCCTGTGCTTGGAGTGAGGAAAGGTAACTCCACATAGGGCTCTCAATCCCTGAGCTCCTCTCCCAACCAACCGAGTACACCATTTATCCTTCTGAAGCCCAGATAATTCCCTGGCTTACCGTGAGTCAAGGGCTCAGAACTGCCCATGTGGATGACTGTGTGCTGGTCAGGTGGGCTGGAAGATGAAGGGGGCCTTGGGGCCTGGCTGTAGAAGACTGTGGGAGCAGAAGTACTTTCTGTCTTCTCCTGTGCACTGGGGTCAGTGGCTGTGGGCGGAGAAGAGCCGTCAGTAGGGCAGGGAGGGAAGGGGTTGGAGAGCAGATGAAGGTTAACACTTACTATTAAAGCTGGACCAGTCAGAGAAGCTGGAGGAATTGAGGGATTCAGGCTCTGGGCTCACCACCTCATCAATCTGGAGGAAGGAGTCTGGGTTACCACCCTGCCCAGCCACTCACCTGGCTCAGGTGAGGCCAGGGCAAACAGATAGAGGAGTTCTTACCAGAGGAAGGCCCAGTCCTGCACGGGCCCAGTTGACAGTAGCCAGTTTCTCTCTCAGTGCAGAGGCTACAGGACCAGCCAGATTGGTTGGGGGGAAGATGGGACCATTGCAGCTGGGACACTGATAACCAGCAGGCGCAGTGTTTCGGGGTAGCTGGGCAGCACGTTCATTCAGGCAAGCCCAGTGGAAGAGATCTTAGGGTCCATGAAATAGGGAAGGAAAGGCATGAGGAAGAACTCCTTTTGACCTCCAAAGCCAGCAATGGGCCACAGCCTACTGCATGGATGAAAGGGCACATACATGGGTGACTAGGGCCTGTCACCTCTTCACCCCAGGTGTATTTCATTAGTGTTCCCTTTGATTCCCTTGTTGGACCACCATCTGACTAACTCAAAGCAGATGCTACCTACCCTTTCAGGGACAGCTCTCTGGGACTGCACTCATCACCATCCTTGGGCTAATGGCTAACCAAGAATAGTTTCAGCAAAGGTTCCTAAATATACATACGGGTATGTGTTTGCACAGATACACATCTGTAGCCACAAATGAGCATGTGTTGATAAACACACAAACACAAGTGACTTTTCCTATATCTAGACTGGCTCTCATACACACATATCTAAAACTTACACATTTGCTATTTCTCAAGTACCCTCACCCACCCATGTGTTCTTTGTATGTCTACAACATACCTGTGTTCTCATTATACATACTTACACACCCACAATAAGCAGTCACATAAAGACACAAGGTTAAGTTAAATTCATCTACCTATACACAAACCCTCACATGGATGAATACACAGAGCTGCCTGTTTTGCACCAGCTCCTTCAAAAACTGAAGCTGAGGCTCTTACACTGTACTCAGGTCACTGGCATGACACATATGATTTTTGACTTCCCATCCTTCTGTTTTAGTGTGGGAAACACTTCCTCTTTGTTTCATCTTGCAATCAGTAATGGATCCCAAATATCTGAAAGTGCTTTGCTGGTATGGCTAACTCTTCACAGTTACAGCCATCCTCACAAGCTTGACTGGCTGTTGCTAAACTCTCCAAGATTGGCAGGACAAGAAGTAGGATCCTTGCCTTTTAGGAAACACAATGAGGCCTAGCGAAGGAAAAATGTCTTGCCCAAGTTTACATATGAGGGAAGTAACATAATAGAACTAGGACCTGCAGCACTGCCCTCCCTAACTTGGGGAGCTCACTGTCCTATGCTTAAAGAGTCACCAAGCTGGGCCAGTTAGAGAAGTTGCCTTATCCGTTCAAGGTGTCCATGCCTCACCATAGCAGACAAGGCGGGTCGTCTCCCGGCTGGCCAGGGGTGTGTTGCAAAGTCGGCAGTTGGGGTTGTAGTCACTATCTTGGAGCCACTGCAGGTAGGACTGTACAATGCACTGAAGTGGAAGAGACAAGTCACAGCTGGAGCTGGGGCTCCACCACCTACCACTCCAAGGTCCAACTGTCTCTTCTCATCACAGAGGAAACTCATCTTTTTGTTTAACCAATAAATATTGAACACTTACTGTGCACCAGACTATTTTAGGCGCTGGAAATAAAGCAATGAGCAAAATAAACTAAGTCCTTGCCCTTGTGGAATTAATACTCTAGTGCAAGGCCCCTGATGGATTTGGTAGTGCCAGTATGGCCTGTCTACCAAGTACCCTGCTCTGTAACAGCCCTGAATGTCCCACCTTGGCGTGATTGGCTACCAGGCAATGTTCACAGACGTTGACTCGGTGTTCGAAGCAAAACAGGTTGGTCACCTTCCTTTTGGGGCACTTGCAAAGTCCCATGACCGACCCTAGAGAAAGGGACGGAGTTGACAGTAAGCCAGGTTCTGGGGGACATCACTTCTCACCAGCCCAGCTCGTATCCACTCCAAACTCTTCCAAACACTATTCTTACGCACCCCATTCCCAAATTCTCACCCACGTACCCAGTTTTGGACGGGCCACACCCCCTGGATAAGTCTTGCCTCTGACGACCCTACATTCCTGAATCCCACCCACGCTCGACCACCAACTCCCTAGATACCACCAACCCCGCCCCTACGGCCCCTCCTGAGCCCCACCCCCTCCCGGCCCCGCCCCTTCCGTACAGATTCTTTCTGTCACTGATCGGCCACGGCGCTGGTCCGGACCAGCGCAAGCAGTGGTTCGAGGCGCAGGTCAGGTATCACGCTCACCAGCAGCCGCTCTTCCCCCTCAGCCCGAGCCGCCCCGATTATCCTCTGCTGCCACGTCTCTTCCGGGTGCAGCGCGCGCTGATGACGTCAAAGCCCGCGAGCCACGCCCCTGCTTTTGAGTGAAAAGCTGGGGATTCCGAGAGTAGCGGCGCTCCCGTTTTGCGTCACTTCCACTTCCTCCTACGCAGGGCGGGTAATTCGAACGCTTCCAAGGTGGCCGATTTTCTTTGCTGTTGGCGCGGGCCCGCGGTTGCGGTGGCGAAGGAGGTCGACACAGAAACTAGATATGTCTGGGAGGCGAACGCGGTCGGAAGGGACCGCTCGGCGCTCTGGTGAGCGGAAGGCGCGCGGAAGAAATGGAGCTAAACCGTTTGGGAGACGCGAACCCTTTACGAAAAGAGGCTTGTTTTCCCTAAGGCATCCCGAAAGGGCTGGCTTGGGAACCTTCGCCTGTCTCTTGTAGAACCTAGAGTCTTTCTGAGCCTAGAAACGTTTTTCTCCTTCCAGAGCCCACGGCCCCATCTTCCAAAACCCTGCGGAGGTCCCAGCGAAAATCAGGCTCTGACCTCCTGCTTAGCGTCCTTCCTGAAATCTCCCAGAAGGTGAGCCCCGAGTTTCTTAGTTATTTTCCCTGATCTAACGTAGAGCTCACCATGGTCATCCCTGCTTTTCAGGCACCCTCTGAGGCTCCAATCAGAAAGCCCATCGTCTTGAAAAAGATCGTGGCTCACGCTGTAAAGGTGAGGGCCAAGAGGAGATTATGGGTGGGAGGTCTAGACTAGGGGCTGGCTATTTCAACAGTTGGTGTTGTCCCCACAGGTCCCAGCTGTCAACTCTCCTCGCAGGAGCCCTGGGGTGAGTTCATTTCCATTTACTTAGTTGGGTGGGATGCTGGTCTCTCGAGAGCTGGAGAAGGTCGTAATGGCTGTTCACCTCTACTCAGGGAACTGTTTTGTCGTATTTGAAAACAGTATGCCTTTGGACACTATGATTGCCAACCTTCTCTGTGGTTGGGTGGGGTTTGAGACAGGTTCTCACTAAGTAGTTCAAGCTGGCTTTGAACTCAGGATGTTGTGCAGGTTGGCCTCAAAACACCTCGATCTACTACCTCAGCCTCCGAATGTCAGGATTACAGACTTGTGCCACATTCCTCGCAAGGCCAGCCTTGATTACTCCTTACAAATTTAATTCATTTATAGCTATTTTTATTGTTAAAGTTTTTTTTTCTTTCCTTCTTCCTTCTTCTTCTTCTTCTTCTTCTTCTTCTTCTTCTTCTGCTGCTGCTGCTGCTGCTGCTGCTGCTGCTGCTGCTGCTGCTGCTGCTGCTGCTGAAACTATGGCCTTTTATTTACACATAGATCAAAAAAGAACTTGTCAGAAACTTTAACGTAAGGGTCCACAAAGAAAAAAACAAGCAAACCTTGGGTTAAAAAAAAAAAAAACAACCAAAAAACCTGTAATGGTACCTGATCAAAGGATTTGCATTCTCATAGATGAGAAAGTGGACTTTTAGAGGGCCAGTAAAGGAGGAATATTTGTGTGGGGGAAGGGCAGTTATTCTCAGGCTCACAGTGATTTGGAGAATGTCACAGTGCTAAGTACAGGGTGATGGGACAGTGGTCACTGCCAAGAGCCTTGGAATAGATCTTGCTGTCACACAAAGCAGGTTAAAGGGAATGGGACAACAGAAAGTAACCAGGGTGCCAACCTACATTCTTGGACCCAGCATGTAAGTCCAAAAGGTGTAGGCATAGGCAGCAATAGTATACAGGTGGCAAAAGCTGTCGGCCAGTGGCACAGCCTGGGGCAGCTCCCCAAAGCCTTGGTGCTCCTGTGGAGTGAAGCCAGCATTCTTTTTGTTTTCTTTGGGGTTACGAAAGTCAGTTTCTTCATGAGCCACATTGAGGTCTCCACATAGTACAAGAGGCTTGTGGGATGCCAAGCCCTTCAAGAACTTGTGAGAGGTCTGGGGAGAAGGCTCAGTGGGATAAGTGCTTCCCTGGCAAGCACAAGGGTTTGAGTTCAATCCCTGGTTCCACCAAAAAACAAAACAAAACAACTATATTTGGGGCCGGGGAGATAGCTCAGTAGAGTAAGTACTTGCCTGGCAAGCACAAGGGCCTGAGTTCAATTCCTGGTTACACACACACACAAAATTCTAAGAAAGGCTTCATCCCAGCACTGCCTGTACTGCAGCCTTACCGGACCCCGACCTGCATTGGGTACATAGGCTGTGACCAGCACAAATGAGTCAGATTTAGCCACAGTCACCTGGCCTTCTTGGTCATGTTCCTCCTCACCAATGCCATAAGAGACTTTGAGTGGGCACTGGCAGGAAAGCAGACCCACACTGCTATATTCTTCCTTGTCAAAAGGTGCTGACCAGTACTGATGGGATAGTCCAGACAGCTCCTGGAGCTCAGCTGGGAGTTTGTTCTCTTGAACATTTGGTCTCCTGGAGGCACAGAATATCTGGGGCTTCTTCCTTTACCCACTCTAAGCCCTTCTTAATCCAGGCCTGAAGCCCATCTACATTCCAAGAGCATATCTTGAGTGTGGCAGATTTGCCACTGGGCGAGGTTTTTTAATCTGGAGGATCCTCATACAAGACTGGCCTTCTCCTGTTGCCTATTTTTCGTTTTTCTTTGCTCCCACTTTACTCTTCTTTGCCTCTGGTTCTCTTGGGCTCTTCCCCATCTTCCGCTACTGATCCCTTTTTCCCTTGCTTTGGCATCCCTGTAACAAAGGTTCTTTGGTACCTGTACCTCATCAACCACCAAAACAGTATTTTCACCTGGTGGTCTGCTTGGGCCCCCAGCGAGATTTCTCTTAAAGTTTTTTTTTTAATTAATTAATTATTAGTAGTTTTTTTTTTTGTTTTGGTTTTTTTTTTTGTTTTTTTGAGACAGGGTCTAACTGTGGAGTTTGGGTGGACCTTGTGCTCACTCTTTAGCCCCCAGACTGGTCTCACACTTGCAATGATCCTCCTGTCTCATCCTCCCCAGCGCTGGAATTACAGCCATGTGCTACCATGCTTGGTTTCCAGGCTGACATGGCATGGGGAGCTGGGGATCGAACTCACCCAGGTCCTTGTGCTTGCCATGAAAGCGCTTGTAGAGCTATCTCCCCAGCCCCAGCTTTTTTTTTTTTTAAGGTGCAGAGGACTGTACCAGGAACTCGTCATTGAGTGAGATATACATTCCCCTATCCCCCATCCCACCTTTATTTATTTTGAGACAGCATCTTGTAAGTTGCCTAAGCTGATCTTGAGTTTGTGATTCTCTTGCCTCAGGCTCCAGAGTGTTGGATTTACAGGCATATGACACCACACGTAGCTGTCCTCTGGTCTTATGGTTTTTATATATGTGTGGCACTTCCACAGCTTCAGCAGAATTTCTTATCAAGGATTGTTCATTAATAGGAAATCTGACATTATAGAGAATGAGCAGCTGGGGAGATAGCTCAACAGGCATAAGTGCCTGCCTGGCAAGTGCGAAGTCATGAGTTCAGTCCTCACCCCTCCAAAAAAGAATGAGCAGAGCTAGATGCCTTTTTTTTTTTTTTTTTTTTGTGGGACCAGGG